CTTACTTGACATATGATTTTTATCTTTAGCTCTTTCTTATTTCTTTATGGATTCTGAATAGAAATAAAGGAAAGTAAATCACCGTCATCTTGCCAACTGCAGTCCAACATTTTTACTTTTCTATCAATTAGAACCCAAAGAACCAATCAGGGAGGGCAGGGATAGGATATGTGATGGGTAATCTTTCCAATTGTGAAAAACAGTTTAAAACAAATTAAACAAACCAAACAAAAACTTGTCCCTTCCTCCCCAAAACCCAATTTGAAATAAAACAGCTGTTTGGATGCAGTTAATTCTTAGAAATCCACTGGGTAAATAGATAAGACACAAGCTAAATATGGAAATCTGATGTACTTTATCGTCATCTTCATGATCTTTTGCAATTAATTGTCCAAACATTACTTTTAAAGATGCCAAATTCTGTCTTTTTATACTATCTTAACCTATGATTTACATTTGCTAACTTTAAATTTATAAAATGATTAGCTTTTAAAAATCATTTTATTAGTAGGTTTTAAAATTGGGTCTTAATTCCAAAGTAACACTAATTCATTGTATTTGTGTGCAGAGGGGGAGGGCCATTTCACTAAATTTAATTATTGCAGTTGTTTAGGTTGAACTTTGATGAATTTGTTGAACTGTCTAGTTCAGTTGTCTTACAAGGGCCTATTATTTTGAATATTTTGACACTGATTTGATGTGTTGCTTGGTGATTATCCTATGGTTAATTGGCCCATATAACCTTGTACACCTGGTCATACACTTTGACCCTGAGCTTAAAATTACATTGGGAGGTGAGATTTTTTGGTATTAAACTAATACAAGTCCTTACCTTTTATATTGCCATTTTTGTCCCAAATAATTCAGAATTCCCCCTTCCAGACCTCTAGACCCATGATGGTCACTTCAAGTCAATCAGAGAGAAAAATGGTATGAGTGATATAAATTATCATTTCTTGTGATAAGATAAATGCTTGGCCTGTTGTATCATGCTGCAATTCTCCTGGCCTATACTGGACAATCCCCAAATTGACATACATCTAGTTGTTATTGTATACATGGCCGGGCATTGATATGTGCTCCTGCTTCTGATGCTCACACTTCTAGGTCTCCATTAGCTGTTTAACTTTTGGAATTTGTACCTCAATTTGGAGTAATGACATGGCATTCTGATTATGTGCCTTTGGGCATACATTCAAATTTAAGTGTCAGATTTCATTGATTAACTGGTTTATTTCAACTTTAAAAAAGAGAATAGAAATCATCTCAGCAGCGTAGTCATGTGGTAAGTATAGTTGTCTGGAGGATATTCTGCAATTGACAGCATTTTTTTGGCTGTCTAGTTATCACAAGACTATCACAAAAGTTTTAAAGTGCCATGAGAATGTTTAATAACTACGAATATTCTAATGATTATGGTAGTGATCATGCCAGTGATGTCTGCCTTAGCGGTTATGTGCAATGCATACCTGGTTTTGAGCACTTAATAATTCTATTGGCCATTATAGTATTAACCAAATGCTATTAATTGAACTTAGAATCAGAACTGGGATTATGCATGGACTCCTGAGTTCAATTTTTTGGCTCAAGGCGTTAGCATCAAATTATGTGATGAATGCATGTATAAGTGTTATTTCATTGTGTTTGGAGTAACCCTAAATGCTAGGAATCAAAGACCTAAGTCCCGAATCAAACCAGTTGGGTCAAAGCATGTTTCTATAGCATTGGAGATGATATCTTTATTTAGATAAAGAGGTTACTTTATATTTAATCTTATTTTGTGGGAAGTGGGACTTCGGAACTGCAGAATTAAAATGGAAATTATTCCTATATGGTTTGAAGTGAAATGGTTTCCCTTGCCCTGGTCTGAATGTCTAAGAAACTCAAACACAGAGTCTGGCTGTGTGGGAAATCCTCAATTTAGTTTTTCTTTAAGCCAGCCATGACTTGAGTTACAAAGTACAGAAGAATCACATCAATGAAAACAAATGTTAACTTCAACATCACCGTATAGCCATCCTTTGAAATGTAGCCATACAGACACTTCCAATGTGAAACTAAAAATGGTTGACCAGAATTGGGAACTGAAATTTGTAAGTTCATCACATGGCCATTGGCTACCTGTGATCACCCAGTTATAAAAACAACTTACAAATTATCGTTGAAGCTATTCACGATACCATCCTTTATCCCTCCAAATTCATGTTTTTGCTTTTTAGTAATTTCTCTAGTTATTTAATGTTAATTCTTATTATAGCATATTTATGGAGGAAGCATCTAGCCAAAAGTGGAATTATGCATCCAAACTTTGGAACATTGTCGTTTTCTCTGTTTTCTTAAATCTGTTGTCCTCTAGCCTGTCCTGCCCCTGATTTAGTTAATATCTCCCTATTTTCATAACCGCCCACTGTAGATGGGATTACCGCCCCATTCAGACCCATTGGTTTCATCTCCTCCCACCTTCTAAGTTGTCCCACATCTGTTTTAACTTTCTTTTCTTTCTTTATTTACGTCCATTACAGCCAGATCTCTATGGCTCACAGATGTGCCCAGGGAAGCTCCCAGAGGTGCGTCACAGGCCCAAAAGAAGCTTGCATCAAAGTGCTTCTTTGAGATGTCATAGCACTGCAGCAGCAGGTTCATGTGTGTGCAGTAGAGTTGTTGCTTGGCTTATCTCACTTTTTTGTTGTCATTCCCAAACTCTGGAGGCCCACGTCACACATTGTTTTGCCGAGACTTCATAGGACAAAGCCACATAAATTGTGTCTAGATGCACTTCAGGAATAGTGTGTCTGTTTCTCACTCCAAGTTGCTCTTGGAGGTTGGATAATTATGAAATGGGGACATCTGTAGGCCGAATGGATAGGAAAGAATGCTCAATGCTCAATGCAAAACTAACCTCTCTGTGTAATTTTTGCAATTCTCCTTAGTTAGATTTCCAAATATTCCCTCCTCTCTGTTCTAAATGCTTCAGATTATTACAAATTCTCACAAGGCTTTGGCATGGTTGTCACAGTCCCCAGGTTCTTCTATGTGGCCAATGAATGAAGTAGGGAGGAGGGCACGGAGGAAAGAGAGGAGAAGGCTGCAGGGAAAATGCCCAAAGCAGCATTAATGTTAATGTTACTATTTAGCATCTCAGTGGTTATTGTGTTCCTCTACAATTCTATTTTTGTCTCCTCTCAATCCCCCTTTCTATTAAAGCTCTAGATCCAAAAAATTATATTTTACAATCACAAAGTATGAACTAACCAAAGGTGAGGCTTTCCTTTTATTCTAATTACAACATGTCCAGAAACAGCTTGTTATTCCAGTCAAATAAAATCTATTGATCTGCACTATACTATGCTGTGCACAAATTTGGAGAAGTCTTGCTATGTCTGCCCTGAGTCACCAGAAAAAATAAGCTAAGCTGTAAACATCATTTCATGGATGAGCAGAATTAATATGGAGGTGATTTTCATGTGGTTTTTTTTTCTATCACAGTCATACTCCCACCCACCCTTTTTAAGTTGGATCCTAGTTTTACCTATATGTTTTAATTAGAAAAGAGAATGATTGCATTATTAAGTTACTAACTTTAAATCTAGAGTGTTACTTCAGTCTCCCAAGTGTAATCCTACAGGTAGCATGGGCTTCTTGGTGAAGAACTTTACTGGAACAGAAAAATGTAGCTGCTGAATGTCCTGATCTACCATTCTTTCCCTTTGGTTGTCTACAGGGAATTCCTGAGCAATGGGCACGATTACTCCAAACCTCCAACATAACAAAACTGGAACAGAAGAAGAACCCACAAGCAGTACTAGATGTTCTCAAATTCTATGATTCCAAAGAAACAGTCAACAACCAGAAATACATGAGCTTTACATCAGGAGGTAAGAGTAAATCTAGGGTATCAAAAAATGAAAAATAATTCCAATCTCAGAGCCTCAGGATTAGAACAGGATGCCTGTAGGACATTTGATGTCATCTCTAGTTCCTTCTCAGAGTGACTTCAACAGATGTAAACCAAAAGATGAGTTGGGAGTTGAAGTTGATGTTAGGAGATTTACAATGCTTGGAATTTTAGAAATGAAATAAGGAAATTGTCCAGTGAAGCAGTAGTTGTCAGTTTGAATCAGCAATCACAACTGTTGTTCTGTCTCTTCACTTGCATGAAGATACTCAGTTACTTAGAATCAGGCTTTATGATGTGTTCATAAAGTAAGAAGTGTATGGATCAAACCATGGTCTCTTGAAATTTATTTTATCCTTTAGAATCATTTAATTGCACCATGATGACACAGAACAAATTTTGTAACTCTCAGGTTATTTTGCTCAGACTTCAAAAATCACACTTAAAAAAGAAATCATGGTTTGCTGTTTATAAAAGAACGAAAGACCATGTGTCTTCCAAACCCCAACTTCATTTGCTAGCTTGTAGACCTAGCCTTTGCTTGAAGCTTTGATGTTCAAATTTGCACTGTAAGCAACTGAAAATCATATACCAACAACACTTCTGCATTTTGAGAAAGTTGATCTGGGTAGTCTCTTTAGAACAATTTCTTATTTAACATCTAAAGAAAGAAGAGAATGCTATTGTTAGTGTCCCAGATATAAAGAGCTCCTACTTTTTGATATCGGTTTTAGTATAGGGCAGGCTTGATCTCTTCAAAAGTGGTGCAAGAATACACTGGGAAGGGGAGGTGTCTGATTTGGCTATATCAAATATCAAAGCCCAAACTTAAAGGCATATAGCAATTTATATGCTAAATAGGACTTTTTTTTTAATGAGAAGATTGTTTAACTTCTGTTATCCAGTGGCAAAAATGTAAAAGAAAAAAGTCATCAAGGAGAGCTATTTATGATATTTAATCTATTGCATGGAATAAAATGTTTAAGAGATCATGGTGACACATCAAAGAATGCTTAATGTGAGGAAATCTAGAGCTGTGCTCCAAGTACACTGTAGAACCATAAGCGATGAGAACCAAGAATTGATTCAAGAAATCATTTCAGTGTATCCATTAATACTCAGATTCTCAGAATTGTTTCCTTTATTCTAAGTTGCCACTGCTTTTTAACCCTTTTATTTTTATATGTTGAATTCTCTCAACTTACAAAGAATAAATCCTGAAAACTATGTTGGAACTCAACAGTATCTGAGTTATTGCACTATTTGGAGTTGAGTGAAACTCACCATATGTTTTTGGGATGCTCTAGTGTTGCAAGTGACTAATAGGATAGGAGGGAGAGGAGAGGAGACGGGGAGAGGGAGAGTGCATAGAAAGGAGGAATGGAAAGGAGGTAGAGAGAAGGAGAAGGAAAGAGGAAGCGGGGGACAAATTCTAGATATAGATGTACAATATTCTCCTCTTATCTGTGGTATTGCTTTCTGTGGTTTCGGTTACCCATGATCAACTATGGTCTGAAAATATTAAATGGAAAATTTCATAAAGAAACAACTTATAAGTTTTAAATTGTGCACTGTTCTGAGTAACATTATGAAATCTGGAATGGTCCTGCTTTGCCCCACCCAGGACGTGAATCCTGCTTTGTCCAACATGTCCATGCTGCACATGCACACCACCTGTTACTCACTTAGTAGACGTCTAGGTTATCAGATCAGCTTTCAGGATGTTTCATTGCTTGTGCTCAAGTAACCCTTATTTAACTTAATAATGGTCCCAAAGCACAAGAATAGTAATGCTGGCAATTTATATATGCCAGAAACACCTTAAAGTATTTTCTTTAATTAAAAAGGTGAAAGTTCTTGACTTAATAAGGAAAGAGAAAAATCTTATGCTGAAGTTGCTAAGATCTATGGTAAGAATTAATCTTCTACCCATGAAATCGGGAAGAAATTCATAAATTTTGCTGTCGCTTCTCAAACTGCAAAAATTACAGAAATGGTATGTGACAGGTCCTTAGTTAAGATGGAAAAGGCTTTAAATTTGTGGGTGGAAGACATGAGCAGAACACCTAGGTTCTGTAAGTCCTCACTTAATGTCCTCTATAGGTTCTTGGAACTGCAGCTAGATGATGTATAATAAAACCAGTTTTACTATAGGTGAATTGATATGAACAAGAGTTAAGATCCTATAGTACCTTGTCAATGTTTTAACGAAACAACGTGGAATGAAATGATGTTATTTGAGGTCTGTCTGTCTAT